CCTCTTTTTTCCAAATTGAATCAGTTTGCCGCCGTACTTACGAACTCTTGTGCCACCCCGTTGAGCCACCCCGTTGAGCCTCCCCTTTTCGTATGATACTGACAACTTCATTTGCCACAATTTCTTAGGTTTTATAAATCGTATTTCAAGACAGCTTGCGTAATTCTTTTAATTGTAGATTAGCAACCAGTAACATCAATTTACTTTTGGAAATGGTTGCAGCCCACCTTTAGTTTGAAATCATATTTATTGTTATCTCCTTTATTATTGCTCAGTACAACCTAATAGAAACTAAAATGCGTATTATCAATTAATACAAAGTAGTAAAAATGTATACTTTCAAGGAAATAATGTTTTTTACATTATTTCTTTTATTTAAGCTATATTAACAGAACAAAATTTGCTAAAAAATAACAAACTATGTAAAAATGCAAACAATAAAAAAAAATGTATTTTGCATTTGGTGTAGAACAAATTAAGCATGTAGCAAATGTACCCATCAGTCCGATGTCTAATCAGTTATATTACTGTCTTATTCATTAATTTTCATTTTAATGTGGTAAATTTTCTATGTCTTCTTAATGTATGTTTCTTTTATTTAAGGGTATCTCAAGAAAATATTATATATAATTGCAATAAAATATGTTCTGAGGAAACATCGCATTTATTTTCTTTTATTCCCATTCTCGAAAACCCGATATTTTCACAAACTCGGCTGCCTTTCGTTCTACATTAGGCCAAGTCTTCGCAACTTTACTGTATTTATTCTTTAAGTTCTTATATTTATTACTAAACTTATTATTTAATCTCAAACATTAATTTACGTCCTTCTTGTTGTAATGTGTAAATAGTTTCCAATCTTAATACTAACCTGTGCAAGTATATCCTTACTTAAAGTTCAGACCCAATCTCTCTCTCTCTATGATATCAGTTTTTTAGCCCAAAATTATGGTACTTTTAAATGCATTTTTTCCACCAAAAAAAAACGTGTTTCTGTATACCAAAACTATTTTTATCGGTAATTTTCATTGTGTATTCTACCAAAGCAAGTGTTCAAATAATTGTGTGCATTTCTCGTGTTTTATTTATATCTCTCTTATGTTTAAAGCTATGAATTTTTTTGAATAACACGAGTACGAATAAGAATCATAACTCACGAAATATATCAACAGGAACATGTCACAAAACTTTAGTTTACTTCTTTTAGGAGGCCAAATAAAATTACTTTAAAGTTGTGTCTTTTCTTACATTAAACATAAATTCAATATGCACAGCAACTAAGTGTAAATTCTTTACAGTTTTGGAAAACTGATAGGCTATGAATTTTTTTATCCGATACGGTAAAGATTTAAAACATGATTCAGTATTTGTGTCCCCAAGAAAACTCATTTGTCCAACTCTAAAAACAAATATAAAATAATTAATTTTTATTCCATAATCTTTGAAATGTTGGAAACTATTCTTTTGGGATTTTTGTATTCATCATTAATTAAAAAAAAAAAAAGAAACTGAACGCGTGGCCCAAATAAGCAACGAAAAAAGGAAGATGCGAACAATTTCATTCATAAATCTTTGAAAGGCTTAGGCCACTCTGCATAAGCGAAAATTCACACATATCTGGAAACGCAATTAGCCTGAGTAAAGTTATAATAGCAGTTTATCATATGTCAAATTGGATTGATAGGTATCTAGTAACACGTTCTAAGGAAAGTAGTTTTAGAAAAGATCTCTACATTCTCTCTCTAAAATTGCACAAAATCCTTTAAGTTAGGAAGGAATATTGATTTTGGAGCGTAATTTTACATAGAAACTTGAACGCACCTGTTGGACATCAGTATTTAACGTTTAAAGTGTGATATGTACAGGGCTAGACTAATTACAACGAGATGGTCGACAAATATATCGCTCCATCATACATCCAAACTTTTTTTGCTACTTGTAACTGGGCTAAATGAAAGCTACGTGAACGCGCTTGAGCAAGAAGACCTGTTGTCTGGATGTGTAGTGAAATGTATTTATTATCTTTTATTTGATAATGTGCTTTAACTGCAGGTTAAGTAGTAATTTGAAATTTCAGTATATCTTGTGAAATCTGGAATCACCAGATATGCTCTTAAGGCCATGAAAGATATATGTGCGTATATTTTAATACCAATGTTACTAGCTACTGAAAGAACTAGATATATTTTATAATATAAGCAAGTCACTTCTAGTACCATTTAAATACTTGGCATCTGTGTGTTTATACCAAAATAAAAACCGTTGTTTTTTAAAAGTGTGCAGTGGACGTCACATCTACTGACAGGTGTCCTCGCGTTTTAAATGGGCACTTACTTATACATGGCTCCTTTATCAGAAAATTCTTATGATACAGACATAAATGATGATATATAGTTACAAATCTATTAAAGCTTTTGATCTTAAACATAGATTTGGAAAGTCCGGTTTGAATGCAACCTTTAATTCATAATTTGTTAATCAAGCCCTTCATATCTTCATATTGTTGTTCTAAACGAGATAACCTCGCATTCTTTTTGAAGAGGCAGTGCCGATTTAAGTTCATTTGGGGCCCTGGGTGAAGAAGATCTCCTGCCTCCCTTGGCACTTTGGCACTGGAGGATCGAAATTTATAACCACAAAATGTGGTGAAGTCCAACTTATTCAGGACCTTCTGGGCTCTCTGGGCCCCTGGGCGCCCACCCCAAGTGCCAAATGGATAAACCGGCACTGTGAAGAGGGATTGCAGATTTCCGTGATTTTGTCCACCACAAGGGCAAACTGGGTAACCCTCTGAAATTGTGACAATAATGATCTACATTTTTAAAGAACCACATATTTCTTAAGCTAAGCAATTAAATGAGCTTGTAATTACTTAAGTCTTTCATATCGTTCAAAAGTTGTAAAAGTGTTTTTTTTTCATCCTCAAGAGTCAAATCGTGCAGACTTTTGGCTATTTTAGTTTCAGAATGTTCGAAATGGAAAATCAGTTCTTCCTTAAGCCTCATACATGGATTTTTCACTGGCCTAGAATAAACTTCTAACGGATCACAAGTTTAAAATTCTGCTTTGATAGAAACAATTAAACAAACATATTCAGTACCTTCACTAGTTATAATTGTAATCGAAAAATTGAGTTTCATTTATACAAAGAACGAGAGTCATCCAGAAAAGACTATTCAGTCATAAAAAGTAAAAAGCACAATTTGTATTGAAAGAAACAATACTGTTGAATACCTAAAAACTTTCATCATTTTTTTTACATAACCATTTCTTACTCTTAAAAATTTGTCATATTTATCCACGAGTTTCAGAATCCCCCCCGTTATATTTTCCGGCATTAATACAGGTAGTCACTGAATTAAAAAAAGACCAATAGTCCGCACCTTGCTGTTAGCGGGTAAGAAGTGGTAAAAATTTCTCATAGAGATAATTTTCTAAGAAACAGATGGTTGAATAAAATTCATTGACAGCAGAGGAATGCAGCATATGAATTCATAGGCTTGTGAAGCAACACAAAGCTTAAATGTAGGTAATTACTAGGCAGAGAAATTTCAAAGTATGTAACATAATTGTTTTCCCCAATAAATATTGTTTTTCATTTTGAATGGCCAAATAATCTTTATTTTCTGGACGACTCTTGTGTAATTGGACATTCAGTGGGTGAAAACCAACATTTTCATGCGAATTCCATACACATGGTTCAACTTTTAAAAATAAAAGTAACCAAAGTAAAGCACTTACCATCGGGTATTCATCAGAAATGGGAATGAACGAGGGCTTATGGTGATATTTCAGGCTCGTTTCAAAATAATTTATTACGCGTAACTTCAATATCATCAAGGAAGCAATTGAGTGAAAGGGAAAATACAAACATATAACAGATAAAGCTGATTGGCTCACTTGAATTGAAAAAAGTCGAAATATCAGACAATTGGTGAACAGTTACAGAAATATGAAAATGATGAAATAAACTTTAACTATAAATCAGAGATAAAGCACAAAATAACATAAGCATTTTTTGAAAAGTTTTTTTTTTAAGTATAAAAAAATTACATGCAAAATGTGTTGTATATACAGGGATTTATAAAGAAAAAAGTTGAGTCGAGTTTAAGTTATTGCAGAAAAAAAATATAAGTATACATATAATTTAAATATAAGGAAATAAAAGTAATTTATATATTATAAATTATAAGAAAATATAAATTATTAAAAATTTAATTTATATTTTATAATAATTTAAGGGCTGAACTCATAGGTACAACAGCCCAAGAGGGCCAAGGCCTACTGTGCCTATCTCAGTTTACAGGACCTTAGGTGCTGGGATGAATTTGCAGATGTTTCGGTCAAGCGCTCAGTTTGACGCGAAGAACCCCAGTGTTCAATTACCAAACAAAAAATATAAATAAAATATATAAGAATTATTATTATTTAAATGTAAGCAAATATAATTAATTAATATTACATATAATGTACATTATAAAAGAATATAAATTGTTAAAATATCAGTTTATATTTTATACATAATATTATTAAAATATAAATAATTTAGCATTGTGCAAATAAAACAATTATATATAAAAATACAACTATATTTTGCAGCCATCTATGATTATAAAGGATCGTTCAAGATAAATTGTAAATGTACTTTTATTCCTTTTGAGTGGAACTTAACAGTTTGAGCAAATAATGAGAGTAGGCGCTCCATTCAGTGGAACACCGTAACACAAATTGTTTTTGCTAATGCCACCTGTCTGACGTGGTCAGATTGAAAACCACGAAATTCATCATAGGCTAGATTGTACGCCTGTCGTTAATCGTAGCTTTGAGCACCATGAAGGTGACAGTACAATTCGGCTCGTTTCTACCCCAGTTTTAAGAGATCTCGGAGTAGTCAGGGGTATCCCACCTCTATTCCCTTTCCACCAACGTCAGGAGAGAACATGCGGCTTGACTGCTATTTAGAGTACCCCCATGCCATGAAGGCACCAAACATTTGTAAACATCCATGCTTTTCCGGGATTCGAACCCAGGCCCAACTGCACAGGAGACAGTGTCACTAACAACTATACCAAAATGATCTTTTAATACTTTTCTTCTGCAATTTGTTCATAGACAATTACAAGCTTTTTATTTATTTCACTACATGCCTTCCGTTCCTTAATATTAGGAAAATACGTCATAGAACTGAAAGCGCCAGTCTCCAATTTTTTCCCAATACATCTTGTTGCTGAAACAGATATTCTATTGGTATCTTGGATTTTTTCTCTTATTTTCTGGCCATTATATAGCTTGAAAGCACAGCTATGTGGGTCTTTTCTTACAATTTATTTTCAAGCCTGTCTTTTTTAAATTATGCAGTTTAGATCTGGATGTGCAAATTCGTAAATATATACCAATTCTTATTTACACTCAAAGATATAGTTTTCCAATTATGTGTGATAAGGAAACAAATTTATCGACATGTTTATTTATCTAAAGTTTTCTTAATAATTCTGCGAAACAATAACACTTACTCGTTGTCTTGCAATAAGAGATTGTTGAAGAGAAGTAGGGACAAGTTTTTAAAAAGAAAAGGAATAAGTGTCAGAGTCAAGTGCTCTCCACCCATCAACTCTAAGTACCGTAACCCCTACTTGTGCACAAAATTATTCCTCATCAACATATGTACTGCAGAATATTTTTTTAAATAAAATTACTTCTCCTTTTTATCAATACATATAATGATGTAAACACAAGCACGTCACTCTGATAAATGTTTTCACATTGATGAAAGAGATTCTGAAAATTGCTTTTAAGAGCATTTATTTATTTATTTTATTTTATTGATTAATATTTTTGCTTTTGCATTTGCATTTACAAGGTGAATAAAATATTTCAGGTATTTTGTTCCTTGAATGCGAGTGTGAATGATGAGATCGTAAATTTTCGAGATGGAAAAGTAAACCCTTCCCCCTCTTTGAATTGTGAAAAATACAGAAAGTAAAATCGAATTTTTTTGTTCATATGAAAACTGCTTTACCATTAAAAATTCCCAAAAGAGTAGCGTATTTTGCATTACTGCTCATTGGCCATCTGTTTTAATTTGTTTCTCCTGGTATAAATAATGATAGTTTAGTTTATTTCTTATATATGTATAAAGAGGAAAATAGCATATTTTTCTAAATTTAAAAAAATACTGCATGGAAAAAAAACGAACCGTAATATCCGGCGTATAACGAGCACTTTTAATACAAAAAAATGATGTCGAGATTTGTGGGTGTACGTTATACTTTAGGTATAAAAATGATAGCTTAAAAAAAGTGTGTGTACTTATGACCACACGATAGAAGTAATAGACTTCAAATTTTGTAATGTTATTTCAGAGATTAGTTAGTGAATAAAAAACAAGGGAATATATTAGTAATGTCATATAAAATTATTTATTCATATGTCTGTACTCATAAAGTAGTATTTTTTGCTAAATATTGTAGATACTTTTTAATTATCTTTCTACAGCCCAATGCAAGTGCGATCAGTGTCAAAATATCAAAGCTAACAATTAAACTTTGAAGTTTCATGAAAAAACTTTCATACAGTACTATCTAAAGTACTACATTCAGAAATTTCCTATTTACACTAATAATTAACCTTTATAAAACTGTTCTTGCACAGGAAAATATGTTTTGGGAAGATGTATTCAAGCAAAGATATCAAGTATTGATGCATATTAATTAAAATAAAAATACTCCAAAAGTGCATTGAAAAATATATATATATATATATATATATATATATATATGTATATGTATCAAAATATATAGATATAGATATATATATGTATATATATATGTATATACATATGTATATATATATATGTATATATATATATGTATATATATATATATATATATATATATATATATATATGTATATATATATATATATATATATATATATATATAGATAGATATAGATAGATAGATAGATAGATAGATAGATAGATAGAGAGAGTGAATGAGAGAGAGAGAGATAAAGACAAAAGTCTTAAAATTAACTGATGTAAAACAAAAAATTACAAAAAAAAAAATTATAAAAATAGATTTCATTAAGCTGAACATTATTTTCACTGCCTTCTTTGTAAAGGAAAGCAAATAATAGGCACATGTTTTGATTTTACCTTAATATGATAAAAATATTTGTACATTTTTTTTAAGTCTTAAGGGAAAATACAGAATAAATTAAAAGTAAAATCATAATTATCTTTTGCAGTTTTAAAAAAATGAAGTACAATTGAAGAAATTGTGAATGTGTGTATTTGCTGATTTGAAATTGCGTCAACTCTCTTCAAAAAAGATTATTTTCTGAAGGGTCATATCAACCCTCTTTTTATTAGTTCTTAAGCAGGTTATAAAATAAGGAATGGGAATTTGCAGAGGGAACCGTTCTAGGGAACATTTTCCCACGGCGGTATTTTTACCAATAAAATGGAATTTGCCTTCTTCAGGAATAATCCGAATATTTTCATTGATTTTCTAAAAAAATAATTGTTGACGAGAGACAATTTACTACACGACAATTTAAGTAAACAAAGAATGACTTCATTCGACACCTCTCGTCGGTCGAAGAATTATCCACTGCATCCGTACTGTTTGGCAACCACTACAAATACGCCCGATTCGACAATATCGAGTTACAGGTAAAAGGGGAATCCCCGAATCGAGAACTTACCTGGATAAATTGTTTTTTTAGAATAACTCGGGACTATTCTAATAAACAATACATTTTTGGAAATGTCTCGTCCGGAGCATTTCGAAAAAAAAAACCAGTCTAATGTTTAAATTTATAAGCAAATACGGATAATTTTTTCAATACATGTATAAAAAAAAGGGGAAATTTTTTTTTAGTAAACATGTTTTTTTAAAAAATTTTAATGATACTAAGAGGAAGCAGACTGAATATCTGCAAACGTCTCTTAAAGCACAGAGTAAAAAAGCAAACCCGTTCAAAATATTTGCAGTTTGGATTTATGAATCTTATTGACAAGATAATTGAATTATAAAACTAGTCAACTGAAGCAGGAAGTGCACATAATTTTTTATGGAATAAGTGGAGGGGGAAATTGAGTTTTTTTCTTTTTAAAAAGAAAGAAAAAAATGCTGAGACGCGAGCGCGTCATCTTAATGCTAAAGATTAAAAATCCGCTGGGGTTAGAGGAGGGGTAGGGTGGGGGAAGGAATTGAACCCTCGGCGTTCTTGTGAACATATATCCTGCTTAGAATCTAAAGGGATTCATGATACCAAAAAGAGTGTTGTGGATTGCAATGAAGCAGTGTTTCTCAAACTTTCAATATTTGTGAACCAATTTTTAGTCAGAATATTCATCGCGCTCCCTTTCTTTTAGTAATAATGTATTAATTGTAGGTATAATGTACTTTGATGGTAAAATTATGATACAATATGACTTTAATTATAAACCGTACTAATTATTCAGATGCATATTAAGTTTTATATATAATTTTGAATATGACAAGCCCAAGGTAGTCACTAGTAATTATTAAACTTGTTTTTAAATTAAATATTGATAAATTAACATTCAAATACTTTGTGCAGTACTGATTCATTTATATTAGTGTGTATTACTTAAATATAAATGTGTATTTAATTTTTTTATTACATAAGAATGTATTTTATTTTGTAATTATTGGATATTGCCATTTATTGTGTATTAAATTGTTAATTATTTTAAATATTTCATTTTCGATTTTTCGCGATATGATCGCGCTTACCCCCAAGTAGGGTTATCACGTCCTTTTTGGTGGGCGCACCCCACAATTTGAAAAACGTTGCAATAAAGATTTTATTTCGAGTTTTGAGAAGAAGTTAATAACCGTATTCATGAAACAAAATATTATTTGGGAAGAAAAGCCAAGTGATTTACATAATAATTTGACCGATAGCGAAATGAAGATTTGATAATTTGGATATAAAAATGAAAGAAAATAATTGGTTTTTTTAAATAAACATTAGGTGGTTGTACGCGTTCTCTGAAATTTTTATTTTTTTCTCCCTCCAATTTTTTGCGCCCTAGGCATGCGTCTAGCGTTTCTTAGTGGAAAAGAGGACCTGTCTCTATCCAGAAGTCTCAAATGCTTTGCCCCTTCGATATTTTCTGAATCGAACATGATTTTTTTTATCTACAACAAATCTATATTTGTAATTGTAGCATTCGAATTTTATATTATAAACGCAATAACCCGCTATATGCTTTAAAACTTGACACTCTTCAATTGAAATATCATCTAATTTATTCTTAAATTTCCTTGAGATTGTATCTTTTGAAGTTTGCACCAACTGTTCATCCTTTGGGGAAAAAAACCGAAACATGTAATTGCCAAGTTTGTTAGATGACCTGTTGGCCATACAGCAGTAACGATGCATTAGTATAAAATGTGTGTAGCTTTAGGTTAAGTAATTAATAGCATTTTTTAAGTTAAAATTTGACAGAATAAACAAGGCACTAATTTCCCATTTAAACAATAATTTCTTATAAAAAACAAAATATCGTAAATTTATTCATAATTTGGGATGTTGGCATAAATGCATCAATTTATTATATCGTGCCCTCAAATCTAAAAAGAAAGAAAGTTAATAATGACACTAGAATAAAGGGGAGAAACGAGAATAAAAACCCTGGGAGAACGTCCCTCTCTTTTAGTCACGTGATTTCTTTTTAATGGTGGACCAATCTTGCCGGGGGAAGTTTTCCGAATACAAGCGAAAAAAGCCAAATAAGCGTTACCTTCCCGAGCGTGACGTATATTCAAGTTCACTCGAGAGCAAATCACATAGCGTTGGGGGCAGGAAAATCATTAGAAAATAGGGATATTTCGATAGGGGAAAAAGGGATTTGTGTGGACAGGAATAATCCTAGATCATTGAACAGTAAGAATCCGAGAAGTAATGCTATAGTAGTAATGTGAATATGTGAGGAAAGGAATAAAACTTGATATTTATTGATGCAACAAAATTCTATTAGTTTTTAAAGATGCTTAAATGTATCATAATTTTCTAAATAATTGACTTTTAGGATGATTAAATT